GGGCTCCTGGCTGCTGCACTCCCGCTGTGGCACGCTGCAGGTGAGCGTCCTCGTCACAGCGCAGAGTGGGGACAAGACCACGTTGCCAGGTCTCCCCACTGAGCCCTAGATCTCAGGCAAGTGCCTGCTTCTGCTCAGCTCTTGCACCAGTAACCTCTGAACCAGCCTGGAAAGTAGCACCCCGCCTCGCCCCGCTAGCCCTGCCACGGACACTAGCCATCACCAAGCTCCCCACAAGAGCTGGCCTGGGGTTTGTTTATTCTCCCAGTTATGTGTTTCTTGTGTATTTCAAATACAATTAAAATTCATATATTACGTCTGTGCAACCGGTTCCCGTGGCGGAGAGAGGAAACACTGTTTGCCCATCTCTGCCTGTGTTTCTAGGGGAAGCGGTGAAGGTCGCTGGGGTCCCATGGGCAACTGGTGGGGCTGTGTGTGCTGTGATGTGGGTGGAGGTGCCTGGCTGTGAGTGGGTGCTGCTCTCCTTGCTCATCTGTGGCCACTGCAGCTCTGCAGACCAACCTCCTGCCCCACTTCCCTCTGCAGTGCAAAGACCCAGCTGCAGCCCAGCACTAACCCCCAGGGTTTGGTGTGGGGTGTCCATGGCAGGCGTGGGCCAGTGCTGCTGAGCAAGAGGCACGGGCTGCCTGGCTGCAGGGTGGGGCACTGGCAGGTCTACAACCCACCTTGGCAGGGCTTGGCCTGCAGCCCCATAGTCTACCCCAGAGAGGCTTGGGGACCTGTGGAGATGTGACACAAAATTTTGGCAGTGCTGCCCACCAAGGGGATGGCAGGTAAGGTGGGTGCTCCCTTAGGAGGGCAAGGGTGGATGCATGCACATGTGTATGAGTGCCTACATGCGTGTGTGTGTGTTCGTGGGTGCATGCACATCTGCCTGTGAGCGAGGCACAGGCTGCAGCGAGCTGCCAGCCCGCACAGTCCTTCTCCCCGCGGTGCGAGGCCGGGGGTTGTGGTGTTCCTGCACCATCTTGCGGCAGCTGGAACAGGGGCTCTCCTGGGCCAGGCAGAGCTGGGAGAGCCCT